GTATTGACATGCAAATGGGATAGTAACATGATAATGGCATGGAGTGCCATAGACAACCACCGTTGCTGCCTATGGCCTAGATAAGTAGAGTATTGACATGCTAATGGGGATAGTAACATGCTAATGGCATGGGGTGCCATAGACAACCACCGTTGCTGCCCATGGCCTAGATAAGTAAAGTATTGACATGCTAATGACATGGAGTGTCGAAACAATGAAGGCTGCGTTGAAACTACTTCTGAATTCGAAAATTTCATCCGTACCAGCTGGAATTTTCACCTTTGACGTGGTATATCCAACAAACATGTATGTCACTCAAAACCAAGGCAAGTGATGAAGCGCCGTATACTAAATACATACTGTTTACAAAACTGAAAAGAATATGATGTCGTAGTTCGAATAAACTGAGTGATCAATACCAACCCAAAGGCCCAAAAGTGTATAGGTGGCCTACGGAGAGTCATACTACACACCCATGCAACAATCCCTGATTGTGCACTTGCACCGAAGAAACATACCATTCCAGAATTCAATTTTATCGGGGATCACTTTGTAAGCTGTCCAGTTCTCTGCTGGGATGTCGTGGTCGGGGTGTTCCAACCAGGTCTGATTAGCAGAGGAAATTAAGACATCATAATTAACGGCAAACGAGGCAAATGTGCGTAAGTGCTATACAAAATGAGCATATCATTCAGATATTGTACAGAAGCAACGTTTGATCGATTGTTGGGCACTTAGGACAACAGCGTACATAGCTCTTGGGAAGGGATGGAAAGTCCATTTGTGTGTTTAGTTTATGAAAATACATGGAATGTGTATGTATGCATGTATAAGACATCTCAGATAGGCATAATTAGACGAATAAAAACACACCAACTTATACGTAAACAAAAAACAAGCATATATATACAAAGATGTATGCGTGTGGAGTGCATATCTGAGAGTATTTGTGTGTACATGAATGCGTATATGTCCGTGTGCGCGCGTATATCGAGTATATATATACAAACATATATATATATATATATATGTATGTATGTGTGTGTGTGTATGAATGTATATAAATATATATATATATATATCTACACGCACAAACACACACACACACATATATATATATATATATATATATATATATATATATATATATATATATATATATACTATATTATATATATATATTATATAATATATATATATATATATATATATATATATATATATATATATATATATATATATATATGTGTGTGTAGGTGCGTGCGTATTGATAAGTTCATTTAGAAATGCATACCAGCCCAAAATATATCACATGCATCATGAGTACCACGCATATTGTTATTGATAACTCCATATGGTTTGAACAGAAGTGCGTTCACCACCGCGGTGCCCGGTAACAGTACGATAACTACTTACAGAACAAGCCAGCCACACCATATACATTCACAACAGAGATAGTAAACGTGTCGATACGACCTGTGTGTATGTAAATATTCTTGCACCAGAAAGGGTGTACTGGACTCCTCGACCGACTTCTGACCTAGAATAAGTATAAGAATCCTATAGCCAGTGAAGATAAGCACATATCTCAACCCGCTCAACTAACCCACCACAAGAACATCATACCTTTTGCACTCGGTCTACGAACAACGCTCTGTCAGTCAATATCGTCCCCTGCCTGAAAGCCTTGGCCATGACACACATATTCGGAGGATACTTCTCACAACAGAACTTTGATTCCGGCTTTGTGGCGATCTTTACATATCCTTCCACCCGAGTTTGTAAGTACATACTGGGCCACCAGAATACAAGCGCGGCAAACGGATTCTGTGCAATGTTCTGCCCCTTCAGACTTTTCTGACACGTGTAGAACAGAAACCCTTCGCTGTCAAAACCCTGCAGGACTACTGTCCTCGCGGTCGGTCTCCCGTTTTCTCCCACAGTGCTGAGTGTCATGAAAGCTAGGCCTTTCTTGGTCTGTGCACGCACGTCGTAGAAGTGTGCGAATTGACGCAGGGGATCATCGTCTAATGATTCAATCCGTAATAAACTGGTTGTGTCTGGGGGTAGGGCGTCCAAGGTTAAGTACTGGGTTTCGCGTTGAGTGACTTCATCCGCTTCGAAAAAGGTATCATCACTGTCGTCGTGGATAGTTTTTCTTCGTGTTTGTGAGGTGGGGAAATCGGCAGGAAGCCCTGCGGCTACGCTTGTACGTTTTGCGGCCGACATACTTTACGCTTGTGGGTATGGGGGGTGCCAGTAAGTCAGTCAGGGTAGTAAGAAGGGATGGAATAAACGTTCATACGTTCTTGTGTGCGCTGAGTTTACCCTATATTGTGATCCCCGCTGTATCCATTGCCCCATATACCATAGTCTCGAAAAGCAAACACTTTATTATGACACTCTATGTATATGCCTGATCGGATTTAAATGCCCCTGAATTTATACTTTTACCGGTATCATTGTGTTGTAAAATATATAATATATAACGTTTAAAAATCATTACTTTTTATGTTTCCATTTAACGTTTACATTACTATGGGTGCAATTTTTGGGTTCAGAGGTGTAATGTATTGATACTATTTCATGCCGTAGTCTTTTTTTGTTTCCAAAAGTAGTAGGTTCTTCTCGACTGCCCCAAATATACGTTTGTTGTTTATATCTATATTATATACGACTACGTCATGACCGTCTAGAAAGAAAAAATTGCCACAACGGACTAACGTCCGTAGGACACTACGTTCAACGAATACTCTGACCACACAGACCTGCTATATTCGTAATGAGGTCCTTTTGTTTTTTAAAAACAAAAACAAAAACGGACTTCCGCAAAAAAATAAATATTATTGAGCGTCCTTTGAGATTTTAAGAAGCCTACGCCAATTGGAAATTCCTAATATCGAGTTTGAAGTCACATTATGAGCTTTTCAGACATTTAAGTGTGAATACTCTACTTTCTCATTCTATTTTTTAAAACACTCAGTGGATTAATATTCTAACAGCGAATTTGAACCATTTAAAAAATGTGTCCCCGAATTCCTGTAACCCGTGGCTGTCACAGACTACACTTCTCTCTCTCTAGTTTGTCGAGTACGTATTGAATTTCACAGTATATATTTTAGGAGGACTCTTAAGATTACGGCTGTTACGCCTAACTCTTTAAGACTACGTCTGTCAAGCGTCCCGTAAAGACTCACTCTGTTTAGCGACCCACTAAGACTCCCTCTGATAAGCGTCCCGCTCTCGCCTCCCTCCAAATTATGCCCCGACTAAAATCCCTTATGCCTATATAAATTTAATATATATTAAATATGTATATATGTATATATGTATATATGTATATATGCATATATGTATATATGCGCATAT